TTGACGATTGCTCTTGGGCTACTATATATTTGCATGTTAGTCGTTACAAATTCAGAGGTTTTCTCTCCACGATATATTCTGTGCTTTGTTGGTATCACTCTTCTCTCTTTCATTGCATAATAGGTTGAGAGTGTGAATTTTAAGGTATGCTCTATCAGCTGATTGTCAGTAAACTAGTTCCACTGGACGATGCTTACTGATTGCCTTTGGGCCATTGAGTTTATGCACCAGATGCTCATTCAGACTGTATGGCTTTTTTATGCCTCGTCTGCCAAGTTTAGTAAATCTATCTCGAACTTCTTGATTTAATTTGGCTAGAATTTCTAGGTTCTTGCTTGAATTTATTTCCTTTCAGCTTTGCCCTCACACGAAATATGTACAAATTATAAGCTGGCCTAATTACATCTCTCAATCAAGATTCTTCATCCTGCATTCGATGTGTAGTCCTAAAACAGCATTCTCTCATTACAGCTTATTTGGAATTTTCTTAGCTTATGATTCTGTTACCGAGTATTTTAATCTCAGGCAAGGAGAATGAGTTTCGTATACGAAGAAAATGCGGGTTTCGAAAAAACTGCTGAGATAAGATTATTGTGAAGCGGTTCGGACTGGTGGTATCGTAACCTGACTAGGGTCACTTACCGGCTAACGGAATTTTGGCCATGCTTTTCCCTCAGGCCATTAAGCTTTGATGACTCAATGTTGTTGTTAAGCTTTATTCTAATTAAAGTCATGGTCAGTTTTGTGTGCAGACGTTAGCATGTATGCACACAGAACTAACCAAACGTTTCTATATCCATCTACATCTAAAATTTTTTCGCAATGAGTATATATATAATATAAAAAGAGTCGGCAAGTCTTCTTGACTTAGTGGTAACCAGAGCCTTTTGCGAGAATTTGTTCCAGCTATTACGATGTTCGTCATTTGACATGGCGAAGGAAAGCTTAAACCGTCTTTGCCGTAAACGTTAGAGGATGTATCGTGGGCTGCATCAACCTCAACATCGTATAAATGCTAAGCGGCTACAGTACACAACGAATCAACCGGCGTCTTCTAGTGAGATTGACCTGCGAATCTCTTCATCATGAACTTCCATAAGAAATAAAAGTCGTCACAAAAATGAGTTTTATCTGTCAATTTATGACCTGCTCAATGTCTCATCATTTGTTTGTAAGATACTGCTAGAGCAGTGAGATAATGGACAAAAAACAATATACCGAGAGGATGGATTCTACGAGACAGAACTACATATCGTATACTAAAGGACCCAACTATGAAGATCAATAGAATCTAAAGTGGCATGCTGAAATATATGCACATAAACGGGTAAATTGACGCATGGATAAGAAATTCAATCATAAGAAAGGATGCACGACCACCAACGGACGTGTAATTCTGGGATGAAGAATTGGATAAATTGACTGGCATATCCCTCGGCAACTGCTACCTATGCAAATTAAGACAAAGAAACATACGGGCTGTGTAAAGCCGATGGCAGAACGGAGACTACGAAAGAACAGTAGGGGCGGAGAAGGATATACAAAAGTGGATATGCCTACCATCCTGCGAACAAACTCAAAAACGACGGCAAATATAATAGAAAATAGAAAAATTTCAAGTGGCCACGAAAGAAAAAACAACACTACATAAGTCTACCTACACAACATGAAAGGATAGACAAATAGGATTATTCAGGAGTTTACTTTATATCATGCGGCGCCTGCGAACAGAAATATATTTGCAAAACAGGGAGATAAATTAGCTTACGAATCAAGGGAGATCAGAGGCCCTGCAGGATACTGGATACCGAAAGATCAGAGTTAGCAGAGGACATCGCACAGATTGGACATGAGATCAATTGTGAGACAACAAAAAGAAGGGTCTCATAAGGATACGGATGATGAGAGATGCCATTGACATCCTTAGGTAAATAATCTAATGAGCATAAGATAGAATGAAGGTAGAGTTGGCGATAACTTTGCCAAGAATACAGCAAGACCAACAAAATGGAGAAGCCTTGATCAGGGATCTATCGCTAACCGGAGGAATATGTAGTGCGATGAGAAAAGAGGGCGTGGGGGTTTTCGGCAATCTGCGAAGACGTTATCAATTAGTGATGTCTGTTCGAATAAACCTGTACAACTTTGGGGGCCTGGCAGTCAGGGAACTAGGCAAACGGATAAGCACAACCGGTCTTCATCAAGGAGACAGGCGTCCTCAGTTTGCTGTGATAACACGGGTTTATCATGTGAAGGCAATGCCTAATATCTGTAAGCATGGGGATCAGAGCCTAGGAACCGTGACAGTGTACGTGCTTCTAAGGCCTTGACAAATTGCGCCTGAAGTGAAACGCACAGTGGGACTGGATCGAGTGAAATCGGTCAACCAGAAAGATAAGGAACGGATCTACGGGACCATAAGTGTGATCCGTATTGGAGGCCCGAGTCGGATCAGCTGATCGAAAGAGGGGGTTGGGTGAATAGTAGGTGTGATCAAGCCACACTAGATTTGCCACAAAAGGGCACACATTTTGACGAGTGAGAAGTTGGATAAGAGGGTAAGTTGTGCATAGATAGGCCAGGACAGAAAAAGTGATAGTGTAACCGTTTTCTGCAGAACGTTGGTGGAGGGATTGACTTCAATTGTCTCTTTGACGAGGTCTTAGCTTGGTGCGGAGAATGGCAGCACTCACTGACGATGCCCACTATGATGCCGGCGAAACGTTTGATAATGTACCAAATCCACTGTCGGATGCTGAGACTTATGGCAAAGGACTTCGGACTAGCTGTGTTCTACTAAGTCTCCCGGACAACAAGACTTGACCAAACTAGGGTCCGTTTTCAGACTAAAAATTGCCAAGTAAATCGTGAGTATTGCAAACATACACGAACACGCATGCGCGAAGGTCTAACAACACCTAGGATTACAGGATCACACACCAGTTTATTTACATAGGCAAAAGTTGTGACCCCATCCGCCCTCCTTTTTGCATCATTTTGAACTGCTTACATGCATGCAGGACAAGCATAAAACCGCCGACCAAATTATGGAATGCCTCATTAAGATCGCAAAGTGAGGCATCAAATGTAAGTGGGATCTCAGTTGACAACATTTCTTGATTTAGTGTTCGTGAATAATGATTTCTGGCTTCTATGATATCCGTCACATGACGGGCGAAAGCTCAGCATGGCCTTATTTGGAGTTGTAGGATGGTGATCCGAGGTCTACTTTGCACAATTCAACCGATAAGAGTCCAAGGCAACCCTCTATCGATATCCGGTGAGGCCAATCTACGAAATGAAATATTTGCCAGTATTAATCTAATGAGGGATTATTCGAAGCCCAGCTTCTCTTCATCTCTCAGATATTTCGATTTATTTGATTTTTCTCTCCTTTTGTATTACACATATTGCCTGACCTCCCTTTTTTATTTTTATTTGATCCTATTTAGAGGTCTGAGTTTTTTTCGGGAATTTCTTCTGCGTTTATTTCCTGTTAAAGAAGAGTCATCGGGTGCTATATTATCGATACCAATTGCAGCAAATGGTGCACGAGATGATTTGCTAGAATTGGCCACCAAAGCATATGCCCATTCGTTGCGTGAGTTCCACGACTGGGCCACACATGGCTTTTCTCTGGTAAACCTTTTAATAGAATGCACAGATATCCAGATTTTCATCACTAGAGCTTCTATATATTATTTAAAATAGCAATATGTTCTCCTCAATTGATGCTCCTTGGTGCCGATCGACGGGTGGGACGAAAGAGCTTTTCATTAAATCCCCTTCCCTAGTCATTCATATAATTTTGTAATAGAAGATTCTTAAAAAAATAACTGCTTTGTGACAATAGGCCAAATCGTAGAATGGCTCTCTACCATAGGACATACCTAGTAAGGAGGCGGATCTGATTTAACTCACTACTTTTGTCTAGCCAGTAGACATGGACGACCGTGCGGAACAAATCCTTCAATTTTGCAAATATGGTAAAACTTAGATGATCTTGGCGGATCTATGGTTTAAATTGTGGGGTCATATAACCGTGTACTATTAACCTTTACTTGTCCATTATTGGCATTGTCAAACAAAATCCGTTCAACTTAACAAGCTTGAATGCTTGCGGATTTGCGAGAATAGGGCAGATATGCGCGTATATATATATATATATATTTTTTTTTTAATTTATTTTTTTACTTATTAGGTACTTTTGAAAGGTACATACGTTCGAATTTTAACCTTTTTTAGACA